CTAGCTTCGTGCCGGTGTGAAACGACCCCTCATTAAAAATTTTTGCATGCTAGTTCAAGAACTTGGCAGCTATCGCACAACCAGCTTGACCTAACACTCTCATTTCGGTCACTAAATCTGTTATTTTACTGATTTCTGGCGTCTCGAGAGTTCTATGCATTTAACTAATTTCCGTTCTCAGATGAGCTCCACCTCAGCAATTTTCTGAATGTCAAGAACACTTCATATATTTTCTGTTAACATCAGAACATGCAGGATATAAGTGTTTCCAGCTGAGAAATGCGTTGCGTCCTTATAAACGTTATCCAGGTACACGGGAAGAAGCCCTCATCCATGATTTGGGTGGTACCTTCCCTAATTTGTACCACAGAATGTGACTTTACCGTCATTTGTCGAGGAAATCATTTCATACCTTTACATTTTCACTCCAATGATGAATGACTCATAGCCAAATATTTTTATCTCAGTATTTTCGATCAAACAACTAAAATCCATCCCTATATGATTATCATCTAGCATCTAAACGTTATGTGAACATGAAAAAGCTCGTCCGACTCGAATTTTATATATGTTTATCCCTAATTTGCACCACAGAATGTGATTTTACCGTCATTTGTCGAGGAAATCATTTCATGCCTTTACCTGGTTCATTTTCACTCCAATGATGAATGACTCATAGCCAAATATTTTTACATCAGTATTTACGATCAAACAACTAAAATCCATCCCTATATGATTATCATCTAAACGTTATGTGAAAACGTAAAAGCTAGCCCGACTTGATCTTTTTTCCAACAGCAGTTTTATTTCAGGTCGTGTTGAGGAATAACTCGTTGACTCCACGTTAAATAACATTTGTTTTTATTTCCGCAGAAATTTTTTTTCTTTTGAAAATAATATCCAAGAGCTCGTAAGGGATCGATTCTTTCTTGTCATAATCTACTTGTTACAACATCCACATGAGAAAGCCTTTTATAATACTCTGCCAAATGTCTTCAGTCAAATAATGTCCGCGTAACTGTCAAGTTTTACCACATATTCTCATTACCCATTAGGCGCCAAATTCTTGCAAAGTTTCTGCTGGGTGCTCGAGGGAAACTTTGATAGGAAAATTCGCTCGCGTGAAAATAGAAAAATAATTTGTGTTCGTGTTGACAAGGATTGTAAAACTTTTCCGAGTCATCACGGCACCTTTGTTCAAGGTATTTACTTAGATAACGAAGTGTGGACAAGACCTTGTCACGAAACAAGCTGACGCTTGTGGACAAACACTCGGATAGGAAACGGTTCTTAATTTTCGTGAGAGCTTCACCTAAGGCCTGTTGATTAACACTCTGTAAAAGCAGATAATTCAATTATTCAGATAAGGATGAAGGCACTATCAGTCACGAAAATGAGTGATTTATCACAAAGAAGTCAAAGACTTTGCGCGACCCCAAAAGCCCTCCAGGAGTAGGGAATAATCGCATTCTCAAGTGTAAACTTGGGTTTCGGTCAGCTCATTTAGCACCTACTAAGCTAAGTGCAGATAATTGGGTTAGGGGGATAAGAGTGACTCAATATATTGTAAGACACGAAATCGAGTGACTGTCTCAAATAATGACTGACTTTGAACTTGGCGAAAATTTCACGATGAAGAAGATGCTTTCCTCCTCAAATTACTGGATAATAGGATATTTGAGATTCATCTCGTTCTTGCAAAGGATTTGTATCAAGCAGACAATTCTTTGGAGGAATTCATTTTCTTTTCTTTTCTGTAGGGTCCTATATCTCCAAGGTCAATTGGATCGCATATAATGCAAACCCGCCATAGAGAGTCACATCAGTATAGTATATGCATGTACACTTTGAAAAATATTTACACGAACGCCATGATTCGTATTTCTTGCACGCTGATACAGGCTCTTACCAATTTTTTTATTTTTTGCTTATAAAATTGCCGATAGTGTATCGACTCCAAAATCGTGACAACTGTGCACGTTGAAGGCAAAAGTGACCTTCATTAACCGACCCATCTTGTGGGTCAAAAGTAGTTAATGATTGCAATTTAATAAGTACCGCAGAGTCGAGCAATCGTACAAGATGCAAAAACGTTCACTTACGAGCATAAATTTCTTAAGGTGTACTGCGAAGCTTACCGCATTTGGTAACACAAGTCGGGTTTGAGGTTTAAAGCAAGAGTTTAGAATTGGTCTTCCGCTTCGGTTGTCAAATGTCTCATGGGGCGCGAGAGGGGCGGAGCTCCGCTAGGAATTGTCAAGGCCAATGCCACCGAGGACTATCACGTAAGATACATATCACATCCCTTTAATCTGAAACATTAGAGCTCAATTTGGACACACAGACTGACACCGAAGGAAAATTGGGGAATTCAGGAAGCCACAAAATTTGAAAATCATAATTCAAATTCAGTTTTTCTCTTTTCAAAATCTACATGTTTTCTAAAGATCTTAAACAACCCTAAACAAATAAGCTACATTGTTACGAGTGCTGCCTCGTGGGGAGTCGTGTAACCTGTGAACTTTTAAAGAAAACATTTGCAAAGCGACATTTAACTCTGCAAAACGCCATCTAGAATTCGAAAAAATGGGTCAAATTTGAGATCGTGAAAGGTTCCAACACTTTGCACGTGTCAACACTATAATTAATTAATTTTTCCTGGTGTCGTATCAGAAGGAAAATAATCCCAGTTTCATGAAGTGTTACGAAAACACCGCTGCAGTTACGTTTTTTTTATGTCTGTTAAAGGACTCGGGTTTTATATTACCATAATGTGTTCTCTGTATTTTCTTACACAATCAGACTAAACAAGTCTAATTACTTTTGCAAGATTTTCCCACAACCTTTGAGATTTCGTGAATTCCGTGAATTGTCTCAGACATTCTGTTTTGACCTCCTACGTAAGGAAAGAATTTGTGACTCTTTGCAAAGCTGCATTCCAAGGTCAGTTGAGAACAACCGTTTCAGAAGTTACACAGTTAAGTTTCTTACGTAGTTCCGTTTTGTTCTCCACATGCACAAGATCCTTTCTCACCCAGCGACACAATTCTTTTTGTTTTTGTTTTTGTTTTTATTGTACCTATTTTGTCCCTCCTTAAAAACGTGTAGGTAACTCGTGATACTTGAACGTTTTGTCAGTTTGCAAAGAGATTGTTCAACAAATGAAATTATTGAAGAAGTCGGCATTAGGACAATGGACTTCACCAGTTTCCTGTTTAGGCGAGCGAAATATAAAAGGACAATAAGTTTTTGTGGGAAGAGCGGAAAGCCCTGGAGTACTCGTTTTAATTTTATTAAAATGCAAATGCAAAGGCCAAGGGCAAGCCAGCTGAACCGAACGATTGACGTAGTCTGCCGAGCAATAAACATTTGGAACAAGTGTTTGGCAAGAGAGATCAAACATAGAATAAAATGTTTGTAATATGTCTTTACTCGCTCGTTAACTCATGGACACTTTGTCACTATATATTACAAGATTGCAAAAGAGATGGAGGTTTTCGGAGGGATGAAATCAAAGCTGTTTTAAAAGATTAAAGCTGGATCCCTCTAACGCATTGAATTCTAAAGAAAACGCTTGACGCAACTTTGTTTCGAAATATCACATCTGATAGGAGCAAAACGTGATGTTTGCCCATCATAAGAAGGTAACATAATACTAAAGCGTGCTCATTTCATCCTCAATGAAGAATAACTGAAATCGAATCATGAAACACCTCAAACCCTACCAATGAAAATTGAAAGATAATTTGTTGTTTTGGAATGTTAAAAAAATTGCTCCGCATTGCTGAGCAGGGCGCAGCTGCAGCATTGAAACAGCACTAAACGAATTAAACACAGGAGACATAACTTCTGCTATCCGTTGCCTTATTAATCCAACTTGGACTGTTTATTTAAAGCATCCCCTAATAATAAACAAAACCAAAAGGTTCCGTGGCCTTGGCCGCCGTGGAAAATCCGTAAGCCTGCCCAATAACAAACAAGTTCTAAGGTTGTACAGACGCATGTGGTCTGGTCGACTGCTGAATTTAACCTCAATAGAATCTTCGTGTGGAGGGTCTCCATTTAAGTTAATATCACAACCGAAGGCCGGTGCATTCGAAGCAATAATTTTTACATTTTTTCAGTACGTTACGTGTTCTAATAATTATGCATCGTCGTTGAGGAAGCAGTTTTGACCGCCAAATAGCTGGAAATAAAAGTTCCCTATTTTTAAAGTGGATTTCAGGAGATTGAAGTAAAGCTATAGAATCGTATTAACGTCACTGAAAAACTGTCGAAATTAAAGGTAGAGGAATCATAGTTCCTGGCCATGAAAGGCAATCACTTCCCCTCTGAGTGTGCCCGCTAATTTTACCTCGCAAGTGCTGGATGAATTAATTCTAAATATTTCGAATAATTACATTAGATGTTATCATTTCGCAAATAAACGAAGTGTTACAACCGGCTTGTAATTTCCCTCAGAATGAATTAATGACAAGGAATGGAAAACTTCTCAAACGTCAAGAGTTCGATAATAACGAGAAGTAGAAGAACAGAAAGATAAAATCAACAGATACCAACATCCCTTGCATGCCGGCGATATAAAACAGACTGTCCACGTGCTTTGCCACCCGGTAGAACGTGAGTTTCACTTTAGCCCCTCGCTCAATTGAGCGTTGAAAAGTCTGCAAACTGCGAATAATGCTGCGAAAATTAAATTAAGGGGCCATCGATGTCAAACATATGGCATCACATAGCCTGGAGATTTGTGCCGAACAGTCAACTTCATCGCATAAAACTCTGGAGTCGAGAGTTGGGAAGATGGAAACCTGGGATGTTAGAAGTCAGGTTAATGTATTTAACAAATGCCTGTTTGTCTTGGTTTCCCAATGAGGTGGCATGTGGGCCTAAGAGATTTGTATCAACACGCGAATTCTTCGAACTGCACTATTTCCACGAAGGAGAAAATGGACAAAGTCGATGGTAGTTTCTTCATTCAGACCTCATAATTTGGAGCAAAGTTCAACTAGCTGTTTTATGTATTTACGAAACAGTAAAGAGAACCTCTGTTTTGGAAGTACAATGCTCAAGAACAAATCAGATAAAATATAAAAAAAAGGACTATATTTTTCGTTATTTTTCATGATAATTAAATATTCTTAAGATTGACATTTAGATTCGATAAGGCCGTACTGCCAAATATTTTATCAATTTTGTTTTCTCGTAGAAGCACCTCTGACTAGCGTAATTTCGAACACAGGGCTCGAACAGGGTTAGCACAGATGTTGCCAAATTGTCCAGTAAAATAATACGTAGACGTTATCGATATTACAACTATAGTGCTTCTGGGGTCTGAGGGATTAGTTAACCTTTGTCAAACTGTTATTTCCAGAATGTTATCTCAGCTTATTGGTAAAGCTTCGTCGTCCAAATTCAGTCAGGCACGCTCTCTCCAACTAGGAAACATATTGAAGAGATTGTGCCCCTGTGATACTGAAAAGTTGCGAAACTGATTTAAAAATACGCCCGAGCGACCAAAGTTTTACATTACGTGACATCAATGATGCGCTAAAGATTAAATGTTCACCAATGCAAACAGACGCTTGCCGTTTTGTTTTTTTGTGTCAGTGTCACTACACTCAAAGGTGCAGGTCGTTTTCAGTCCTATATGCATAAAGAAAAAATGAAAGCAAGAAAATGCGTAACAAAGTCTGAATTAAACATTCATGCAGTGCACCTCACGACGCTTAAGATCAGCAGAGGTTTGGTCATGCCTGCCTAATTTAATAAAAACAACTTCTTTTCCTATTTCGTTTTCTCGTTTCTGTGAACTTTCATTGAGTGGTAACCTGAAGAATCAAGACTTACTTGATCCATTGTAACTATCAATGAATCCATGTCAAATCATTAGTTCACACTTTGACAGTCATTTAGCCTGATGTCAGACTGTGTAACTTTGATACCTATAGCAAGTTCCTTATTCCATGTTCACTGAATCGCTTCAACGCGAATCTTGTACGGCTTTGGACGAACGGTCAGCCCGAATTTGTCTTCGATGGGATCTTCGGTTCCATTACGAAGTTCAAGATTCTGCAACAAGGTGCCAAGCACCAGGAACATGATTGACTTGGCATAACTCTCTCCAGGGCATTTTCTGTCCCCTGCTGAAAACGCCAAGAAACAAGGTGATCGTACAATGTTCTGTTTAGTTTCATCCAAGAAACGGTATGGATTGAACGTGTTGGGGTCTTCAAAGTACTGTGGATCACGGGAACAGGCCCACAGGTTCATAAAGACAATGGTTCCCTTTGGCAAAGGGTATCCAGCCACACTGGTATCCCGGGTTGTGCAATGGGGCAACGCGAATGGAAGAAAGCTGCTCATCCGCAAGATTTCAAGAACTGTTGCCTCTAAAAGTGGGAAGCTGTTTCTGTCGTGAAGTGTCAAAGTCGAAGAGCCTTTTACGCGTCTTAGCTCATCCTGCAGCTCCGTCTGCACATCGCGATGCGACACGAGGTAAGCCACTGCCCATCGGAGGGCGGTGGATAATTTTTCGTATCCCCCGCCGAAACAGTCAGCTGTTATGTTAATCAAAGTTTCATCGTCGAAGTGCCTTGACATTCCCTCTAAGGAGTCCTCACTGAAACGTTCGTTTCCAAAATCTAATGCATCTCTATCGTTCACTGCTTTCTTCAAAGCCTCGGCGAAGGTAGTTTGCATCTTGGAGGGTGACTCTCCTTCGTTGTTCAGGTTGGAATCACTCTTCATGAGGTAAAAAATTTTCTTGACAAATGTTGTAAGTTGTGCGACGGATTCGTCAAGTTTTTCCACTTGTTTCTTGAACACCACTTTCATCCATGGCATGAAATCTACGCTGTTACCCACGGCACTATTTTCTATAAAATCTGTTGAACCGTCCATCATGAATTGAGCCTTCTTGACGTAAGCGTCGCGTAACTTGTCCCCGAAGAACAAACAAAACTGCAAACTACAGGCAAAGAATTTTAACAAGTAGGAAGGATCGAACCGGCCCTCGTCCGAGTTTAGGAGACTCTTGATTAACACGTGCGTCTCCCTAAGAACTACTTTGGAGAGGTACTTGTCATTGTCAAGGATAGCTCGCATGGCCAATTCCGTCGCTCGCTTGTTGTTGGCGTACTTTGGACCAAACACGGGCCATGCAACTGTTCTATCACCTCGGCTGGACGATATGAAACTGTGCAAAGGCGGACGAGATGAGAAGTCGGTGCCATTCTTGAGAAGAGCCTCTTTAACTGTCTTAATGTCATTAAGAATCACGACTTCCCTGCTTCCGAGTTTCATAGAGAAGACTCTTCCATACTGTTTAGCGAGCTTTGTGACGTTCTTATGAGGAGCGGATCCAAAGAGAAATATATTCCCAATCACTGGTAAACTCCAGGGACCGGGTGGTTTCCTCTTGACTGACGGTCTGGTTTTTCTTAAAAACAGCAAAACAACCACGAGAGCAAGGAAAATAATCACAGTGGAATGCCCCGCTAACTTGTCTACGAGGTCTGCCCAGTACATGATGATAATTGATCTATGTGTCTTCAGTGTTCGCTAAAATCGAATCAAAGTGATCGCTATTTCCTGAGATGTGTACCACGAGTCACTAAGTATGCGAAATATCGAATGGAGAGGTACACGCTTCAAGCCGTGCTCGAGAGGTTCTGGTTACGGGCACGCAAGACGTTTTATAGCTCTTTGTGAGCTGATTTCAGTGGGAGGTGACGGACAAATAAACTTGATGCTACTACACTCTTTGTTTTTCCCGTTGGGTTCAAGGTTGACTCGCTTCACTGATTATGACAAACAAGATTCCGGACTGAGCACGGGTCAAAAAGCAGTCTGCACTTAAAAACAGGATCAAGTATCGGGAACCGTGGATTAGACGGCAGGTTCTTAGGAACGTGTCGTGGAAGTGTTCAACTCGAATACGTGACCAATACCTTTCTACTGAGCAAGTTAACATGATCATCGAACACAAAAGCTCTCATTGACTAGAGGGTGTCATACAAATAAACAGCCAATTGCAAAAACTAACACTATTTAAAATTCAATGCATCACAATAAAAAGGTATCCATTATTCCAAGTTTCCACCAATTAATGCAATCAGCAAAAGCCGATTTATCGATGTTTACACGCTGAAAGCCCATTCTTTTAGAAACGAAGGATAAATATCACTCACCCATTTCTGTCTTAGTTTAGCGCTAACATGTGTCAGCTGCCCTCAGGATTTTATTCAATATAAAACATAGCAGGAACTTTAAGCAGAGAACAGTCTCCGCAGCGTTGAATATTTCCGTTTAAACTGCGGCCGGGTCAGAGAGCGCAAAATCCAACAGGGTCATGGTTGGGTTCTTTTCGGTGTCGTTGCTACTGCGAAATGCATCAGTTATTCGGTTTCCAAATTTATCTTTGCAACTAAAATAAAACAGATATAAGTTCAATACTTTTCAGCACCTATTTACGACAAAATTCCACTTTCCTTCGCCCGCAAATGCCCGTGACATTCATTCCTCTCAATCCATTCCAATAATTCCAAACATCAATCGATTCATGGAGCTCTGGCAGGATATGATTGATGGGTAATCGAAGTAGCATGATCTCAGAGGAATGGTGGATCGCTACTACGATTACTTTGTGGTTTTTGACCACTAAATACATGTAACTATTCACGTACGCTCTGGTCGGGTTTGTGGATAAGATGGTGCGCGGACTGATCGATGAGTACAAAAATACGTTTGCGTGCCTTTTCTTAGACGCATTTTGACATGTCTACAGGTTCCAGGCATCAAGGGTATGAAATTCGACAAGACCCGCGAGCATCATTTGTTGATAATCCTATCGTAAATGGCTAATGGAAGTTCGTCAATCATTAAAGAAGCCTACAAGTAGGGCTTTTATCAGAGGGCTACCCTGAATGCGCGACTTCGTTCATGTGTTGTTCGATTGAATTAAAGTCTGAAAGATTGTTTGAATAGACATTAAGGTTGGCCAATCGCAGTGATCGAACTCTAAAGATCAAGACATGGCGATGATTAAATCTCATTTCTCGTGTAAACAAGAGAACCATTTGCTATATCGATTTCTATGGAAGGAGCGATGTTCTTACAAAGGTGTAACTATTGGTCGATTTTTCGTTCCATACAGGTGTTACAGTATCAAATGAATGTCCTGCAGGCTAATGCAGCAGCTAAATTCGCCCATTCAAGCATCAATGGCTACCATCCATAAACATCAACCTCTCGGCGGTCTTAAATTAGTGCAATTTGTGTTTACTCAATCTATTCGAAAGTAAACGACAGATGTAGAACTGTAGTTCGAGCTAGAAATAGCAACACAATGACAAGCTGAACAAGGACGTCATCATTGAATAAATTTGCCTAATAGGCAAATGACACGGACAGTGTCGACCCCCAGAAAGAAGTTTCAAAGGCACCGTCAGGTCAAGTATGCCCAAGGATCCATGACTAAACCGTCAAAACTGCAAAGCACGTGCTTTATTCCTCATCCGACGCCCGCGTGACGTAAAGTATTTTCAGACGGTTTCGAAGTACAGTACAACTTAAATTTCTCGGTCTCCATTGGAGAAACATGCGCTTGATAACCCAGTATCGAGTCATAGGGGTCAAGGTGAACCGAAAAAGAACAATATTTTCAATTATGAACAGACAAAAAAGACTCGAGGAGTTTACTGATATTTTTAAATTAATAATGACAATATCATGGTCGTTTCACGTTTCTTTGCCGCCAAATGAGTGCATCGGTCCGCGGATGCTAACGCCTCTGGCATGCAATAACTACAGGCGTGAACTTTGCCAATTTCCGTTTTAAACGTCCTTAGACATCATTAAAAATTGCAATCATTTAATCTTTTATGAAACAGGTTGCCTTTGTTTAGTCCGTGGATAGTTTTTTTTAGTTGAAATAGAGAGGAAGTGTCGTTACACGTGACTGGAAAGTTTGGTTCAACAGAAATAGGCTGCATTGCGAAGAAAAGTCGGGGAGATCATGCGAGGTGGTGGTTCACTTCAGCAAGCTAAAAGTTCCCGAAACCACATAAAAGGCACTCTTTTACGACTTTGTCGCCGATATTTCAATCTTCAATGTGCACTTCATATTTGAGGCTTGGGGAACGGGGTAGCCACTACATCTCCAACATATACGAGCTGTGGACATGGCCAATATTAGCAATATCACAGGGTCCATTCTTTTACCAACGGGAGGTAACTCTATACAGTTTCACATAGTACTTAAATCGACCTTCTCAACTTTGTTCAACCGAAGCGGGGGAAGCTGTGACGCTGCGTCGGTGGAAGGGGGGGAGGTATGGCCAGATGGTTTGGTTTTATCAACTGAGTCTATAACATAAAAGGCCATGGTGAGAGTTCCTAAAGCAGCCTCGTTTCCAGGGTTTTTCATCTTCCCCCCCCCCCCCCTTGAGCGAGAGCAGGGGGGGGCGGGAAGATGAGAGACCCCAGGTACGAGGTTCTATATAAAGCTGACGTCTCGAGCGTTACCCGTTCGTTACTGCGAATTAATTTGCGCGCTTTTGTAGAGGCCTCCCCGGCTAAGGTAAAAAAGACAATTTAATTCGCGATTGCCGGATTGAGTAGGTTTTGTTAAAGGAGCGTGACATGACCCTAATCCATCAAATAAGTTAAAATCTAAATCTAAGCGCTTTAAAGTATCCAGAGGTCAGTGAGGACGCCTGTTTTGTTGACATAAAAAATCCGAAGTCAAATGAGGCTAATTTGCTACCTGTCAGGGAAAGATTTAGAAAATTTTCAGAAAGGATAAAGAAGAGCAGATTTACCATCGATATGAAAACAATCTGACTTTTCATGACACGAAGGACAAAAATGATATTATATTAGATAAATTGGACGTTTTGGAAGAGCACAGGTATTTCAGTTTAGTCTTCTCGTGTTTCACATACCGCTTACGTGCCAAACGCTTGGTTAACTCAGCTATCAGACTTAATAACTTAATTCGAGCCACAGAATTAACCCTTTCCACCTTAAAGATTAGTATTTAAATTATCCAGACCGTTCTCTTTGCATTTTCGAGGGTACTGAAAAGGGGAATTTATTGTCAACCAGGAGCCTCTTGAATTGGTGATCATTTTCTTCATTCTCATAGCCTTTACATTTGATTTAAGGGTAAAACTGTGAGGAGAAAGTAAAAGCCAGGCGTTAAAGGGGTTGACCAAATCTTGACCTTTAGCTTAGCTAAACCTTCCTTACCCCCTAATAGACGAGACTGGTGTGAATTGTGTACCTATAAATAACAACGCCAAGAATATCCTGCCAAAACTGCCACCGGTTTGCAAAGGCAACGGTGGTTTGGAAATAGGAAGTCAAAATACAAGTTGGATACGATGGACTCAAAAATCCACCAATCGCGATCCAGCACATCAGACTCGAAGTGAACGCGAGACCCCCTAAAGGGAGGAGTGGGGATTGGTAAGCGAAATCGGTGTAGAAACACTCCCTCGCGACTCCTATTGCCACAGCATTCCTCCCTCTATCGAAACTTCACGGTTAACATTCTTTCTCAGCGATTAACATGGCAGTTGACGAGTTGAGATCCTCGTTCCATCTAAAAGTAGGAAAGAACTACGACCACTTTTAGGGAAATACCAGGAGAATTGGAGCATTTCAATTAATGAAAAAGCGGACGGGGAACTAAAGAAAGACAAAGATGAAGTGAGACTGGGCACAAACTTAGAGTGCGAATACCCATCAAAGAAGACTTAGATATGAAATTGTGAACCTATTTATTCACAACAACACTTTTTAAAGGTTGGTTGCACAAATGTCAAGGATACAGATCCAACTTTCTCAGAGGTCCATGACAAGATAGTACAATTCTAAACTTAAATCGTGTCCACCTTCTTACGTATACTCGAGTTTTTGCATTGCGAAGGTGCGATTATATTCCGTCTAAAATCGCCCCAATTCGTGCGTGACCGGGACGTGTCTCGCGCGAAATGTCTCGCGTAGAATCCCATGTTGCCATTTACGACAAGGTCTACATCACCTACATACCGGGAATTCAAGAGAATCGATCACAAACCAACATGGCACCAAAAACTTAACTTGCTACATCTGTAACTTTTCCTTGCAGACCTTCCAAGCCTTTCTCAGCCACAATACGTGAAATTTTTCTTGTGTTGGAGCGGAACTTGTCTCTAATAAGGAGCTGTTTTTGGACTGACGACTCTTCGGCGCTATGAGAAATAGTCAAGGAAAACCATCAAGAATTACACAAAAGCCCACTGGCCCACGCTGCCCAGGCCCATCAACGCGCGAGGCGAATGGAAATGTATGAAGCGGTCGCCCACGCGAAATGGAGCGGAAAAGCAAGCTAGTACAGGTTGACCGCTAAATACAGGTTCTAAAGAGAACCGACAAAAACATCATTTTATGCCATAATTGACCACTTAATGTAAATAAAATCGCTAAAAAAATATTACCAACATTGTTTTCGCCAGATAAATATCGATTAAATTTTACTCGAAAGATTGGTCATGGTTTTGTTTGAGTGGTTTGCTTTAAGTGACCGTTCCATACAGGTGGAGAACAATACAAAATAGGCCTTCGGAGTTAAGTATAAAGTAAACTCTTAATGGAGGTAACCGCTCAATAGAAGTGAAAATTAAAGTAATTAAGGGGTAACAATTTAGGGACTCTGAAAAACCGACCGTGTAATACAAGGTGACCGCTTAGTACGGTACCGCTTGATACAAGTTCAACTGTACTAGGAAAAACGTGGCAAGTAAAATACACGAAAAAAACGTACAACTGAAGGGTGCCAAACGCAGCAAATGTTCAAGTACTTGGTGTTAAGACGCGGGGTAAATCGAGACAAACGAAGAAAATGCGTGGATAATGCAGTACATAGAAAAATTATGTGTTATCAGACGCGGGAAAACGTTTAGTGGAGTGACGTCAGACGTGTGAACTAGTGCTAATAAAGAGATTTAGCACCGCGTTGACGTGAAACGTGAACGGCAAGAGGGATCACATGACTGTGTTTTCTCCCGCCATTTTTTCACGTTTGCCGGTTGCGCTTTGCCGTTTCTAAGGTAACCAGTCCCGCGTTTGCCATGTATGTAAGATTTTCTTTATTTTTTCTCTCACAGAAAAGAAATTAATTGCCGGAAAAAAAGGCGCCAAAACTATTCCTTGTAAGTCATACAGGGCAGCCTTCAAATCCACCATGATATAAATCATGCCAGTCTTGATTAACCCTTCCAATCCCAAGATCTCACTAGTAATTCTCCTTACTGTCTGCCATACAATTCTTATGATGTCAGTTGGGAGAATCTAGTATTGAATAAACTGACAATCCCCTGATTTTCTATTTTCCTTATTCTCTTTACTTGTCTGCTTGATAATTGTATTGATATTATAAGGAGAAATTCTGTCTTGGTCAACTCGTGGGAGTTAAAGGGTGAACAACATATCGTTCAACTCAACTCACTCATAGCAAGTCTTACCTTTCAAGAAGTTCAGTACATGCTGTATGTCCGTATATTTCCGCTACCCTCTTGGGCGTGTCCCCCGAGTTATCCGCAATCATAACAGGGGCCTGGTGTTCGATTAAGATCTTGAGTACATTTGAGCGTCCAGTTTCCGCCGCGCAGTGGGCCGGTGTCCAGCCTCCCACCATACGTGTGGCAGGATCAGCACCGTATTCCAAAAGAAGTTTGACACACTTGGCGTGCCCTAGATGATGAAAAAAAAAGGAAGTAAAATAAAATAGACTATCCAACCATCACGAAGAGAAATCGAGGGCGGCGAATAATCGAAGACGACAAATCTATCAGTCGTTAAAAACTATACAACAAGGCGCGCTCATGTTTTTATTTTGTTCAGGGACCAGTTCTCATTTATTATTAAGGCGGGGGGGGGGGAAGGAGAATTTTGGGAACGGAGGGGATCAGTGTTCTCTTGCAAACTTTGAAGGGGGACTATAGATTATTAAAAAATTGACTATCAGTAAGGAGAGTCAGGGGGGTCATTACAACTTTACAGAGCCTCACGCGGGAGGGGGGAGCCAAGTAAATCTAATGGTGACACAGCCGAAATTCTCCTACTCCCCCCCTCTCCAGCTAATAAAACATAATAACCGGTCTCCTACAATTGTACACTTTTAATGTGCTCACTGTGTCCACTGTCAATCACGGAATGGAAAGCGAAGAGTGTAGCCAATCAGATTGCAGAGCGCCCGTAGATTTATACTGAAGAGACATAGGTTACTATTGTTGCTGAAAAGATTGTTTTTTGGCGCACCACTTCTTCGATTGTTAAAGTAACCGCTCAGAAGGGAAGACTGAGGAGTCAACAAGTGCGCAATTCTCTCTGTTATACCGGCTTATCGCGTTAGCTCGCTGGCTTCATATAGAACTTCTAAAAGTCCAAATTATCAATATATCAAAGGTGCTTGATACCGAAAATTCAGAACAGAAGAGAAGTTGCGCGTTCTAGAGTTGTAGCTCCTCAGTCAAACTTTTCCGGGAAGGTGAACATAAACCCAGGAACGAAGTTGTCCCTTGGCATGCTTCTAGTTTCAACCTCGGTAATCCGATCTGTGTTAAGACCCATTTGGTAAGTTTAGTATTTTTCTGTTGGGATCTTTAAGATTTCGTTCGTGAATAATGCAGGTAAACTCGAAATTTTGGGCGAAAATCACGCGACGAAACTTGTACACTAAACTTCCGTAATTAACATAAAGAGATCATTATCAACCCGATTTGCAACATCATATGAAAAACCATGTAGTTAATGAGGGTGTTTTGCCTCGGTAAAAATGTAGTATGGGTCAAGCAGATTGGGTTTTCATTGAGTTTTTTTCAAAGTTAATTACTGATTCAAATGTGTTTAATCTGGTGACAGGGACACCTTGTTTAGCGTACCTTAGTCTAAGGGAACAATGTTTAGTCTCGATTTTAATTTTTTTACACTTTCTGTACACTTAGCCTTTCGTCTAAAAACCAGCTGTATCAGACGAAACTTTAAAAAAATAAAACGTAAAACAACTGATGAACCAGAAATGTCGACTACAAATGTTTAACCAAAAACCGTAATGAGCTGAACGCTGTTAGAGGTCTTTCCCATTAACATGCAATCATTTCTCTTCTAGGCCATTCGCCAAAATAGGGGTAAGATGAAAGACACTAAAATAGTTGACGAAATAGAGAGGTTCATGGTACATATGTTTGACACTGAAGCATAACAAAATATTAAGCTTGTTATCATTGCGCAATTAACTGGAACTTGTAACAAGCGAACACCTTCTTTTAAGCAAACACTGGCAAGAACCCCGAGGGTGTGGACTCCATACCGATTTTAAAGTAGTTATAAGGATTTCTACCTCTATGCGCTGCCCAGTGCAGGGCAGCTCTGTCACCCCATTCTTCATCTCTCGAATTCACGTCGATTTTTCCGCCTCTTATGAAGCTTCCCAGCTCTTCGAGTTTTGTGTCGTCTCCCAGAGCGCACGTTTCGTGTAAAAGCAAGTCGTGGCTGCCGCTGTTAAAAACCTGTTTAGTCGGCGGTTTTTCCTGATTTGTCATGCCTTTCGTGACGAGGAACAACACTCAAACGATAGAGTTTCAGTCACTTCTGTAAGCACTGAGGCTACTCGCGAAGAAACAATTTGAATTTACAACCAATGGAGCAAGAAGTGACGCAATGAAGAAAATTGGTTTGATTTTAAGAGTGCTATTGTTAAAGGTACCTGAAGGGAAACAATGATGTAATTTGGATATATCAACAAAGTTGAAATGGTAAATTGGCCACCGTAATGATTACAAAAGCTGACGTTTCGAGCGTTAGCCCTTCGTCGGAGCGAATGAAACAATGATGGATGATTAAGAGGTTTTGATCATAACAGTGGCCAACTCTCTAGGGACAATATAGATAATGACAAGTACTGGTTAAGTAGTGTTTGCTTGAGTTCTTGCTTCTAAATTGCACATCGATTATAAAAATCTGATTGATCTTAGTCCCACAGGAAACTACTAGAAAACCACGCTAGATACGCAAGACCGCAAAGTTAACTTAACTTTGTCCTAGGTATCATTTTCTTCCCAGTCACACATTGATAGGTTCTGCGATGGTATTAAGAATAGACTAAGAGAATCCACTTTATATATCACAAGAGAAATACATTTAGTTCTCAATGAACTTTTGATTACACTTGTTAGGCTAACAGTATCGTAACACTACTTAAATTGTTAGAGCACCTTTTAGTTGAGCATTGTTAATTAAAGTTACTTGAGTCAAACCAGGGAAAAGCGATACATCAAACGCTGGAGCTAATGAGAACTCAGACTGAACCCACACAACCGACTTCTAATTGACTAAGAAGATGGCCCTTGTGTCTTGATCTGTCATGTTGTTAAAGCCTTTCTGTTTCATCAATGTCAGTGATCGATGTGTGATTCTGGGAGAACAGGTTGTTTTGTTTTGAATTCGAGTTAGAGTTTGCAGCGTTCCCGGGCTGCGCGGCGACAGACGTATCGATATCAATTTTATTGCAGGCCGAAAATCCAAATCAAATGGGAAAAAATACAGACTCTAAGTACCCTCTTTGCCGAAAAACATGGCGTAGTCTTCCGCCGCTATTTTATGACAAATTTTCGCTGAATGAAAGAATCATATCCTTAGTTACGGGGTAAGTTTCCAAGTGAATCCGTGCTCAATATATCGTACTGTCTTTGGACCGTGACAAAACGCCGTTTTTACACACTGTATTTGCATTTATTCAAGAATACATTTAAAGGAAAAAAATTCGGTCTGTTGCCCATCTTGTGGGATGACAGAACATCACCATTCAGTGATTCAAGCTTATACGCGATTTTCTCACGCGGAGCTCGTTAGGGAGAAATCGGCGATTTCGATTACAGACCACCTCGCTGGAAAACTGAGAGCGCGCGCGCCATCGCGCGCAGCGCAGAAGCAGAAGAGTAGTACACCAGGGCCCGGTTGTTCAAAGAATGGATAACGCTATACACTGGATAAATCTCTATCCGGTGGATAGCGCAGTATGTTTTGGTAACACTTATCCGCTGGATAGCGATTTATCCGTTGGATAGCGTTATGCGCCCTTTGAACAACCGGAGCCAGGGAATTACGCCACGTGGACTGAATTATCTCTTGCCCCTGGGGTATCCCGCACGCGCGCGATCACACGCAGAAGTAGATGAGCAGTGTAGCACGGAATTACCCGGTGCGGACTGAGTTATCTGTTACCCCTGGGGGATCTCGGATAAAACAGAGGCGAGGAAATTGGTCAATAAAGCACCACTCTGACGATTCCTGACTAAACGTACATTTTAAAAGCCAAAAAAAATTTAAACCCTCTCAATTTCAAGATCTAGAGAGCAAATCTCTCCACCAACTTTCATACATTTTTCTTGATTTGAGTTCCGAGAATCTGGTATTAACTAAAAGCAAAGAATAGCTTTAAATTGATCTTTTTCTTTCTCTTCCTCAAAAGTATCCTTGGAAGTGTTGTGATATTCTGAAGAGAAATTCCTATTTAGTCATTCCTGGAAATTTCAGGGATAAACAACGTCTCTAACCTTTGGAGGCTGCCCAGTGGAGCGCTGTACGATCGCCAAAGTCTTCATCTTTATGATCGACATCTATTCTGTGGATCATTAACATGCTCTCGAGCTCCTGGTATTCGCCATTAACTGCCGCCTCATGTAGGACAAACTCAGTCATACCTTCTTATCCGAGAGCACTTAATATAGCCTACGGAGATTAACGAAAATTTTGGCATAATTTTACACTACCCTAAAAAATTGCCAGGATGTTGTGGAGAGTGGCTCTTCAACCCCTGACACGCCCTCTTGCTTCTCTTTTTGCCCCTTACGTCCTCTCTTATCTTTACAATAAATAAACTTTCCCTTTATTCCTCCCTGCTGTGTCGAGCCTTGATTGTAGCGATTGCAGTTCGCACAATCGTGGCGTTTCAGTTTGGCGGACACACAGTCGGATGCGGCTAACACACGCCAAGGAGAATTAACACAAACTTTTGTGACGATATAAGCAATAGACAACTAGCTCTTTCTATCGCTTTAGACTTTACCGACGTAATAACTTACGCAGAATGTTGAGAGAACAGGAGGAAAGTTTAAAAACCACGAGCTGGAAAAGAGTGGTTTTCAAACTTTTCGAGTGTTGTCCAAAACATCTCAAATGGGTTAATACGCCGGTAAACCGATAGAAAGTATGGCTTAAATAATTCCTCCTGCCACAAGAAACACAGAATTTCAGAAAGGAAATAAATATCTGCTGAACTTTGTAATGTGTTATGAATTATTAACTCGGTGGGAAGATTGCCTGATGTTTTTTTTGTTTGACTATAGCATGGAGCATACATTATTGTGAATTCAGTTTGTCGCATCACCGATCCGATTCGATTCGTTTGAACAATTATGGGAGGCTTATTGAAAACGATTGGTTTTTCATTTTCTAGTTTGCGTGACATGTCACCGATAATTCATAACAGAAAACTCCCGCCGCTTCCCAGAACTACGACCGCATCAGACTAAAGATCGCTAGGGAAATTAAAATCTCCTCAAGCTAAACAATGGCATCGAAAAGTAATTTTATAAACGTAATTAGAATCAAAGTATATCCGAGCAAAGAGTTAATCTGTGCTTTCCGACCAACATAATGCGCCGGCTCATCACTAATAGAGACTAATTGAATCTATTCAGAGCTTGCTCTCCCGCTAATTATACAAAAGCTTTTCATTACTTCTTCCTTAGGAACGGTTTGATAAAAGTCCACGATGAAGGAGAGAGTTTACAAGTCTCCAAGTTGCGATTGTAGTACAAGTAAACAGTTCTATAGTGAGGTATTTTCCTCAATCACATCGGCCTGAGTTTCCTTACGTTTTCCTTTTCGTCTGATTCTCTGATTTCTGGCCGTCTCTTCCAATAAATTAAACTTAAGGCTTCTTCATAACATTTTCGTCAAGCCGACTGGAACGGTTATCCAGATCTCAGCTCTTCTCTATTTTCTTTGTTAAAAATTTTAGCAGTATTTGTGAAAGCGGTAATAAAAGACCGGCCGTAGTTTTCTGCGACCGCGCTCACTCGGCTGGCAACCAAATTAGGCATACTTCGCATCGATCACTCCAACCGGCATGAAGAAAGAACTTGGGTCACATCTTTTTCATCTCGAAAACCAAACCGAAATTTCCCGTAAGATCAGGCACCTGGGTACCTGTTTCTCGAAAGTCCCGGTAACTTAATGGGCCTGTAAGCCGTTTCGTTGTCTTTCAAGATAGGGATTTCAAAATGTTTGAAACTCAAACAATAAAACTAAAAAAATAAAATGGACTGATCTGGGTGCCACAACCTGCTTTTCTATCCTGAAAAATTTGATTCTAAACTACGGTTTCGGGCCCGTTAAGTTACCGAGACTTTCAAGAAACGGAGAAGACTTGCAATTAGAACCGATAACAAAATTCGTCACAGTTGTCGGGCCTCCTAAGATACGCAAGGGCTTGAACAGATAATTATGATTTTCGGGGTAAAGACCCTAAACACGTACCTAAGAGAATGTCGTGACCAGTCTTATGTTTATGACGGGCTTTTCTCGTCGCATAAGTACAGACTTCTGTTCGTCAAAATCAAAATAGCTTGATTGTTTCACAGGTATCCGCTCCAACTAATCGAAGGATTCGAGCGAGTTGCCAGACGCAAAGCACGCTGGAATGTGTGGAATGTTGTTATCGTTTAGACTCTTTTCCAGATCCTCTCGCTGTTTGAAGTTGGGTCCCACCCAGACGTATAATAATTAAGGCTCTTCCTGCAAGAGCTTTTCGTTTCCTCTCTCACGTTTCCATTCTTGGCTTATAGCAAATTTCTCTAGCCTGCCCGGTACATCTCCGGGCAGGCTAGAGAAATTAGTGTCTAGCCAGGTTAGGATTCTGCTCTCAAAGAAATCGATTAGTTGTAAATAGAGGCTTGCAGCAACTTCCTCGTTCCGCATTTAGAACTTCAGAAAGAAGTAAGATGACGACATAACCACTGAGTGAAAAGGAAGTTTCACGAAATCGAGGTTGACCGATAAAGTACTGGGTACCAAAACACGCACGATATTACACGAACAGTTCGAAAGGAAGATGAATGATTCTTGTGGCCATTTTCCTTCGCATATTCGGTATTTACGAGCGTTAAATGGAGTACGTAGGCTATAGAGTTGTCAGAGGACCCGACTGGAGATGGGGAAAACAAGATGGAGGCGAAGGTCATGTTGGAACGGTGCGAAACTTTGAAAGCAACCAAGAAGTTGTGGTTGTTTGGGACAACGGGACGGCCGCGAACTATCGATGTTCAGGCATTTATGATTTGAGAATTCTGGACAGTAGTCCAACTGGTAAGCTTCCAATTTTCTGATATAGTGGTAAAATCTTAAACTGCGGTGGAAATCAATGTAATGTTCTCGCCAAATTGCAATTGTGATATAATTTGATTTGATTTACATGTTGCAAAGTTTTCTGAACCGGCTTTTGCCATCCTAGCTAATCCGATCCGTGGTAGACTCCTAGATAAATTCTGCCTTCTTTTCATCAGTGTTGAAATTGTTTTTCGTGAGCTCACTTTCCTTCTGTTATGACTTGTTTAAGTGTGGTTCAGCTGTTCTCTCTCTCTCGTATACAGCTTATTTTCCTTTCTCTTTGAGTTAAAGCCTTAATTAATTTCCCGTTAACGTTGGCGTTTGGTAGCTACAGTACGTTTTAGGTTTTTTCCAGTTTTCCTCAGAAATTTATATTCAAGGATTCATCTGCTTCATTTCATGTATAATGATTAATTTCCGGACAGAAAAGTCCCCGAAGTTTCCCCTCTGTCTGAAAAGAGGTGTCTAACATTTTACTTAAAAGTTGTAGATTATTCAAACAGGAGTGTCTTTTCAGAGAGGGTTATTCTATCACAAGTATAGGAAAAACTTAAACAAAAGTTTCTATGTAGATTTAGATACTAGCTTTATCAAATTTACATATCTTTTCAACTGGGAAATTCTGACATACTAGGTGTGATAAAAACAAAAAAATGATAGTTTGAACGGCCAACGACTTAAAGGATAAATTTCCCAAGGCGGTATTAATGACACAGAGAAACGACAAGAGGATTGCGTGAAGGAACCAAATTGTATTTGGTTGTACTTTTAGAATTTATCTCATAATCAAAGTAACTAGAACAATTGGATGACCTTTTGAGCTGAAGTCTGATGTGGTAATCACATGGATGATTTGTCATTCATAATTGGGTGAGACAAAGTCAGGTTACCAATCAGTCAAAACTGTGACAAAATTTAGAAGGGGGAGCACCCATCATTTGAACTTCTTCCGGTATGAAAACATGACAGTTCAGGGTCATCACTAGCTTTTGAAGTAGTGTTCTGTTGGAGAAATCACCCATTGCAGTGTAATGCATGGCCAAGTGTTGTGTGACAGCAGTTGAAATCTCACCCTTTAACATAGAGTGAACTCAGCTATAACAAGTGTTACATATTCCAACAACTATTGACAGCCTTGCAGTTGACTTTTTCAGACAAGGTATTGAACATGGTAGTTGAATAGGGTGCAATTTTTCGCACCAGAATACAAACTCCATAGTACCAGTTTGTATACCATAGTGTATAAATGGTACCCTCCAATCACATGATTCTAGATCTCTCTTTAGGCTGCCTTACATCAATGTTGAGTTGCAAGTACCATTAAGCTCAACACTAACTTTTCAACTTACTAACCAAGTGGCTAGTGACAAGTTTGATGTTACAACAATTTCAGTTTGTTTACTAGCCAACTGACCAGTGGAAATTGAAAACCACCAGCCAAAACTGAATTTCTACTTGTCTATGGCTAGTTGGCTACCATAAGTGTTGAGCCCTGTGTACAATACATACATGATACTGTTGGGGCTAAAATTGAGCAGCTGATAACCAGTCATGTTTGAGAATTTAGATACAATAACAACAACAACATTTTTTATTCACACTATTCTGGTAGAAGAAAAAAGAGCAAGAAAAAAAAACAAGTATAGAAAACAAATAATAGAAGGTATATAACTATATATACAATTTTTGAATTAGTGTGCAACAGCCAAAGTAGCAAAGCTTTCGATTTGGCTGCTGCTTACTTACAAGTAAAGAAAGGAACGAAGGAAACAAATAATAATTAAGACTAAACTAATTCACAAGGCAAGAAGTATTATGAAAATGGAATGGAGATGTTGCATTAAAAATTACTCACAGAAAAGTCGGAAAACAAAAATGGATATGATTACAAAGTGAAACTTAGTTGGAAATTCAGAGCTATGACTGACATTTGAGAAGATGAGTTCTAAACCGCTTTTTAAAGTTATTAATAGAGAGCCGTTTCAAGTTTGTGGGTACCATTTCCCATAATATAGAGGCAACATATATAAAGGTAAATTTGCTAGTGTTGGTCCTTACTTTTGGTCATTGAAAATTACCCTTAAGTAGAGGTGTATCTGGTGTGATACTACAATAGTGTTCTGTCATGACATGTGTTGCATGGTTGTGACAGTCAGATGTTTGTTTTTAGGTATAAAGCACGATGGTACTATGTGTGATGGTTGCCGCATGCAGCCTATTTATGGAATGAGGTGGAAATGTGCAGACTGTCAAAGCTATGACTTGTGTAGTGTGTGTTACCATGGAGACAAACATCACTTGCGACATCAGTTCTACCGAGTTTGTGGACCTGATTCAGAGAGGTACGACGTTCATGTTTCCTAGGATAATTTTTGTACTTAGTCTTTGGTTCAGCGTTGTGGTATGATTAGAAATCATTCCTTGTTAAACTGATTTAATCCTGGTTTGATTTGAAATTCTTTTTGTGATAAGTCCATCACAATGGTATAATTTGGATATATCAACAAAGTTGAAATGGTAAATTGGCCACCGTAACAATTTCAAAAGCTGACGTTTCAAGCGTTAGCCCTTTGTCGGAGCAAATAATGGTTGTGGGTTGTGTGCTTTTAAAGGCAGAGAATGGAGCTACGTTATTGGTGGGAACATGGCAACGAGAAAAACACGAATAAATTAGTGGCATGAAAAGCGTTCGTTGATACCTGTGGGATTTAGACTGGCGGTTTGAAAGATGGTAATCTACTTGGAACAAAGAGAAAAATAATTTCAAATCTTGTTAAAGTGAAATTCATCATACCTGTCCAATACATGTACACCCAAACCATTGCAATTTGTCCATGGTCGTTGTCGAATCAGATACATGCACATTATCATTATTGAAGAGGTGCTTTTACTTTAAGCTGGTTTTTGTAAGCTAGAGTACTTTTCTTCCAATGTTGTGAAACCAAAGTTAAGGGTATCACTACAGCTAACTTGTTAAAAGGAACATGTCACAAAGAGATTTGAGAACTCATTGTAAACCTATGTGACAGTTTAGAGCTAAACAGATACAATCCAGATTACTTTTGCACTTAACCACTGTAAAATGCCCTGATTGACATTATTGTTTCCATATCCATATGTATATTCCTAGAGTACTTTGTGAGGCAAGAAGAAAAAGCAAAAAAATTACGGCCAGAGGGATATTTCCCGGTGCAAGAGTTGTTCGTGGAGTTGACTGGCAATGGGAAGATCAAGATGGTACAAAACCTTTTGTGTGTGTAACTGTTATGTGATGTACATGTATGCAAGAGTACACAGTAAGTGCTTGGGCCACTTCAAAGAATGCCATAATCAGGGATTTCATTAATTTTGGTAGTTAGGACATAAGTAGGTGGAAAACATTTCAGTGGTAATTGAGGCAGATTTGGCCATAGTCCATTTTGAAGAGTAGCCACTGTAGTTCACTGGTTGATCACTGGCTACTAATAAAATCCTTGTATTACTCTTTCATGCACAAGCTCAGCCTAATTAGGGTTCAATTTTTGAAGTCTCTTTTGTTAGATTGGGACGTTGGATTTTAGGGTGCTTGACTGAATAAATGCTGAAAGCTAAGCATATTGTTTATTAACAAACTTACTTTTTTAGTAAACTTGAAACATCAGTAGTTTTTGCTGAGGCAAGTGGTTGGGTAATGTAGGCCTTTGAATCAAAGAAAAGTATATTTTAACCAGAACTAGTGCCACTGTTCAGTATGCAAAATTGATCACAGGGTTTGCAGATTATCAACAGTTTGAAGCATAGCATGAGCATTTCAACTTGAGCACCAAAACCATCAATTGAAAGAATCAAACTTCCATCAAATACAACCTCGACTCTACCAAAACTGTGTATTAAAGTGCATCATCCTTTTACCTGTACTTTTAACTGAGGTGAAATGAACTTTCCTTATCTTCATGTAGGTGGCCCTGGTCGACGTGGAAAAGTAACAGAAGTTCAAGATTGGAGCACATCAAGCCCTCGCAGTGCTGCATACATCTTGTGGGACAATGGAGCAAAGAATTTGTACAGACTTGGATTTGAAGGCATGGTATGGCAGAAATATGATTTGAGATGGTTAAAATGTGCACTGGTTTGCTAGTTCCTAACAAAGTGCAACTACTTTATTTCATATAAACCAGCTGTCAGCACCCTTTCAACAGTTATTTCATTTCTCCCTCTCCAGGCTGACCTCAAAGTAATAAGTGATGCCAAAGGAGGAACATTTTACAGGGATCACCTGCCATTGTTAGGTAATTCTGTCCTAATCAAGGGCTTTATGTTAAACATTTTAAAAAAGTTTAATATACGAGCAAGGCAGTCCATACAGCCATTATGATAGCAAATCGTCTTTTCCATGGCATAAGCTAAATTTGGTTTAGGAGGATTGTTACTGCCCCTGAATGGGATTTAGTTCCTCTGCAGGTTAAACCTACCTCCTTCCCTTCTTTTCTTTATTTACCTGAATGTTCAGTGGTATAAAATATTGTTGGATGGAGAGCAAACAAACTGAATGTAAATAAATATATGACATGCTAAATGCCAACGTTACCGTCATATTTAATGCATAAGGGGTATACCTGATTAATGGCCAACATACAAACTCAAAGTTGGTCCAAATGGAGGAAATCATTTAGTGCAAGGATTAGAATAAAGCCAGAAAAAAACCTGAGAGAAACTTATTTGTTATTGTAATTGAACAGGCCATGGGTGCGATATTGAATTTACGTACACAGCCATGTGATGTAAACTGTTAGTATCATGTGTACAAAAATTGGGCCCACAAATCATATTTGTGTAAGCCGCCAGCCTTTTCATTGATCTCTATCACTGTACTCAGGTGATACGAGACCAGCAAGTCGTACAACAGGTCAGGGATTACAGATTGGAGATCAAGTCACTGTTGACTTGGATCTTGAGATTGTGCAGTCATTGCAGCACGGGCATGGAGGTTGGACTGATGGAATGTATGAGGTAATGAGAAAAGTTAAATCTAAAAAACAATTTTTCAAGAACTCATAGAAATTAAATCTCAGGTTTGCAGTTGGAAAGGAGTGAGTATTTATTCTTCATGCGTTGTTTTAAAAGTAATCTATATTTTGCATGCTAGTGCATGGCTACATGCTTTGCATTGTCTTTATCAGACTAGATGGACAGTGATGATTGATAATGTAAATTGATCATTTATTCATGACTTGAATGTCATGCCAGGGTACAATGTGTTGGGACAGAGCTCAGTAATGTTTGTGCATGTGCTAAGTTTTGCTGCAGAAAACGGATTTTGAGTCATTCACATGGTTGATTTCCTATTCTGTTGCTTTGAGACATCGTTTTCCTTGCTGCTTTTCTTTTGTAGAACAACCTCCAAAAACTTTGTAAACCCCCTAAATATTTTCAAAAATTGACTTTCTCCTTTAGTTAAAAACTCTGGAAATAGGAAAATCCCTTAATTGACAATAACAAAATGCCTCAGTTTTAGATGTCAGCCCTCATTATTTTCTGCTGAATGTTTTGCTAAATTTTAGACCTCGCATGCTTGAGGCCGTGTTGTTGACCACATACCCTCTAATGTAACATTTTGCTATTCAGTCCTGTGGTGTGTTGGCTTATTTCTCTTTACCTACCTTTCTTGCATTGTTTACAGACTCTTACAACTCCAGGAACAGTTGTTGGAATTGATGAAGATCATGATATTATGGTACTATATCCCACAGGCAACAGGTACAACTGGATGATAAACTGTGTAAAGTGCTTGGGCAGTGAAAAATTTTCAGCAACAGTTACTCATTGAAATTTGATCATTGAAAAGTAATTATTTCCATGATTTTTAACCCTTTAACTTGCAAGAGTGACCAAGCCAGACATTCTCCATACAATTTCATTACAATATCAAGCAGACAAGTAATGGGAACTAAGAAAACATACATTTTAAAGAAATTATTACCAACTAATATTTGATCCAATACCAAATTCTCCAAACTCACATCTTAAGAATTATATGATAGATAGTTAGGAGAATTACTAATAAGATCTTGGAAGTGAAAAGGTCAATTGGAGTCAAGGAAAAGATGAGTTTGCAGGGGGTTTTCGTTCTAAAAAGATACCTTGTAATCACAGTTTAGTGTACGAATTTGATTTTTATGATTGGGAAGTGAAAGTACAGCAGAATTTTGATTATGAATTTGGAAAGTGCTGTCAACACTGTGACCTGTCTCGCATTCCATTTGTTTCTGCTACGTAACGATAGACTTTTTACGTATTTTGTAGGTGGACGTTTAACCCAGCAATTTTGACCAAAGTAATCAGTACCTCGGAGACTTTGGAGAGTGCTATATCCCTCTCCACAGCTACACCTTCATCCCCCACTGCCTCTGGACCAAGTGCAGCTTCAGCTTCTGGTGCTGTGGCAGCAGTGCCAGGGTTGTCCTCTCAGTTTGTTGTTGGTGACTTGGTGCAGATAAGCAGTGATGTTGAAAAGGTCAAGATGTTACAGAGAGGACATGGGGAGTGGGCAGAGGCAATGCTACCTGTGAGTATTTTTTACTTTCCTTTTTGTGTTAGTAAAACTGTTGGATTGTATTTTGATCCATTTGAACTGCTAGTGTCCAAAATCAGACACTAGCATCCAAAGTCAGACACAAGTGTCCAAAATCAGACACAAGTGTCCAAAGCTGGACACCAGTGTCCAAAGTCAGACACGAGTGTCCAATCACAGCCTTGATTATTGCACATCTGTTCACCAGAGTGACTCAACACCCCAACCCAGTATTCCCCTTTTCAGGAGGTAACCGATAACATAATTATACTACTTGTTGTACCTCCTATTATCCCTCTAAAATCGCAGGGAATTCATGAAAATTTCAACAGGCAAAAGGACTGCCCTACTGGTTTGAAAATTTCTTTCACCTGTTGTGCATAAAATGAGGGAGAAACACTGCCATCCGAACTTAACCTTTTGTTAACCCACCTTTAATATTGAACCTCTTAATTTTCACCTTCCAGACTCTTGGCAAGGTTGGCAGAGTGCAACAGATCTACCATGACAATGACCTGAAGGTAAGTTATTATTAAATGAGTATTATTAAATTTAAATTTATATCGAGCAGTTTCTATAAAAATATTCAACTGTTACCATATTACCTGCAACTTTTCAATGGCCTTGGATACATATATCTTATTAACCAAGCGGGAGGGCCGTACTGGGAGAATATTGGCCCGAGGTCTTGACAGTACGGACCGAGCACAGCGAGGTCTGTACAAAAAAGACCGAGGGCCGATATTCTTCCAGTACGGTCCCGAGCAAGCTTGGTTAATAAGAGATTTATTATACGACTGAAGTTCAAAGGGACACAAGTGCGGTATCATTCGGGACCATTCGGGACAGTGCCCGGTCCAATACTGAGAGAATATTGACCGGCAATAGAGCATTTTGATTGGTTGATTTTAGTTATTGGCCCTCTGACTGCCCGAGTTGTGTAATAAATTTACATTTAATCTCTGTGTCATGTTCTTAAAGAAGACAATTTGCTCCTAAAAGCTACCCTGTTAGGATGTTTCTCTAGGCAAAGAATTATTTTTTGAGATTGGCACTGTTTACTGGTAAGACAAAATCCTGAGGACGAACTTGTACTGGGGAGGAACTTGTGCGTGAATACGGCCTTGAAATTAAGTAAATTAGGTAAATGTTGTGCTGTAGGTGTTACTCTTAATTTACATAATGCTTTGAAATCAGTTATTCAATACAAGTGTGGTGCTTTGTATTTTGTAAACTTGTAGGTGTTAACTCAAACTTAATCTGAATGTATACAATTTTTTTTAATGGACTTGTCCTAAAGTTTTGCACTGAAATCTTTTGAATACAGTACAGTGTTGATTTGAAACTCAGGAAGGGGTGGGGGGGGGAGTTAGCAGAAAGGTTGTAGTTACCATCATTGACATTTTTATTGAGCTGAAAGTTTTTTTGTTTTTTTGTAGGTAGAGATTTGTGGAACATCATGGACATACAATCCAATCCTTGTCACAAAAGTAGCATCCACGACTGACTCACCCTCCCTAGGGGCATCAGCTGGAGGTATAAATTACTTGTGGTGATGGTAATGTGTGTCTTTTCTTGTAATCTGCAAGAGTACCTTCAAATGGAAAGAAACCCAAGCCTGATTTCTGAGCACATACCTACACACTTGCTGTAACAATAGTTATCTAACAGAGAGAGAAAAACCAAAATTTTAATCTTAATTTTTTGATAAAGGATGAAGCAATTTTAGGTTGAAGGTCAGAGATAATCTGGGATTGCTTTGTCTTTGCATAATTCCAGTCTGTGATTGGTCTACAAAGTTTGAGCCATGCTCAAATCACTCAGACCCTCAATTAAAATCAATTGTGACTTGGTTATTTGGTTATATCAACTAAGATGAAATTATAAATTGGCCCTTCATCAGATGAAGGGCTAACGCTTGAAATGTCAGCTATATAACTCTATACGGTGGCCAAGTTACAAATTCAACTTAGTGGATATAACCAAATTACCTTGTTACCCCCATCAACGCAGCACCACAGTTTCTCTAGAAACTTACACCCTTTATAATAATTGTGACTTGGTTGCCTGAATTTTTCTCTGCTTATGGTAATTTTGGTTGTTTTTACATTGAGTGCTCATAGGCTAGTGATCACGTAAAGCTGTGTTATGATTGGCTGTTGGGATTATTCTGGTTTATGTTTTGTGACAGTTAACCATTTAACTCCGAAGAACTGATTGTTAATTCTCCCCTCTAGCTGCTACATATTTCCTTGTAAATTGGTTATGAGAATTGGGTGCTCAATCAAGGTAACGCCTACCTGATACGTTTTAGTGGATATTATGGGGAGAAGTTACTTGTTAATCACTTCCGGGAGTGGATGGGTTAATTAAAAACCGCTCTATAGGGAATGATAAAATAGAGGCAAGGCTGACTAGAGTATAAATCAACTCCAAAAGTTGTCAGCTGATATGCAAGTTGTGGAGGTAACTTGACTTGATGAATGTTCATGGCCCTCAAGGGTTTTCCGAAAATGGTCTTACTCTTGTAGCTGAGAGGTTATCAGCCCTTTTGAAGAAGCTGTTTGAGACGCATGTTCCAGGGGATACAGTAGAGGAACTGGTTAAGGCTGCCGCCAATGGTGACTCTCAAAGAGTTGAAGAGCTTCTGCTCAAGGAAGGTGCCAATGTAAGAACCTTGTAAACTTTCCACACCCCCATTATCTCGTGGTAGATCATGGGTAATTGAATGGTTGGGGTTGATGTCTGAGTTTTTTTTATCTTACAATTTTTTAGCGTCCCTCCTAACCCATTCCAACCTTGGGCGTAACGCGTGCGTAATTTGCGTATAAATTGCGCGCAACATGGCGGATTTACACGCATGATACGCGCGTCTAATGCTGCTATTCCCGCGGCAAGTACTGTAATAGGCGGCTGTGCCTGAAAAAGAGCCGTCAGGCGAAAGCCGAACGCGAAAGCCTCCTCGCAGTGATTCGCGCTTTCGATGTGAAGCGTTACTAAAGTGGGAAGGTTACTGATGTATAGAAACCCATTTATTTCTGGACTGAAAGGAAACAGTCAAACTGAAATTCAAATAGATTGATTGTTCCAAGTATGAAATGACAGGGCAATCCATACACCTCTACGTGTTCCTTCGACGTCTTTGGTTGACCCTTATACAAGTACTGAATTCGTCGCGTGCTGTTTAAATAAAAAGGGGGTAATTGGTCCCCAGATTCCTTGGGACAACATTCTAGCGCCAAAAGCGGGGTTATTACACTAGGGGTTATTTATATGAAGTACACACTAAAAACTACTATTTCACTTAGCGCAAATCACGCAGACTCAACAAATGGCGGTAAACGGTCATATAGGTGGCTGTAGACCAGCGGTAACCGCATTTTATTGAAACTCCAGGGTCTCACTCTTCTTATGTCCTTTGATCAGGTTAATGGCGTATTTGCTGGGCACACGGCACTACAAGCTGCCAGTCAGAATGGTCACGAGGATACAGTCAGAGTTCTCATAAGATTTGATGTGAACCTGGAGGCCGAGGTAAATGTGTTAAAGATATATCTGAATTGATCTCAAGTTTCGAGCGAGTAAATAGTCAAGTGTAAGGCGACGTTCACACTTGGTGCTCGAGCACGATTCTTGATGGGCACTAATGTGAACACACCTTTTTTTTTTTTCAAGTACCCACGCCAGAATTCGGGCATCGTGCCTGTGGACCTTGTACTCGAGAACTGAACCAGGAACAGATATATCGGGTACTTAGTGTCTGAACACAGCACCATTTTGTGCCGGTGCCCTGACACTAATGCTCGGGCACCAATTGTGAACGCAGCCTAAGAAAGGTGGTCCATCGCTTCTTTCACTTTATGGCCATCCTTCAAATCCATGAGAGTGATTAGCATCTTATTTCTCCTTTCGTTATCTTACTGACGCAAATATTGAGTTTATGAGAATAGATAAATTAATCTTCTTGCCATTGTTAGGACAAAGACGGTGACCGTGCTATCCACCACGCGGCGTTTGGAGATGAGTCGGCAGTCGTGGAGCAGCTGGTCCGTGCCGGAAGTGACATGAACGCGCGGAATAAACGCCGACAGTCACCCTTGCATGTGGCTGTCAATAAAGGACACACAGGGGTGGTGAAGAGTCTTCTTGCTCTAGAATGTCACCCCAGCTTACAGGTGACGGGAGTTTTGATTTTCTCGAAGAAAAATTCAGTACCGAGCGTAATGCCTCCATAGAAGTAAAGTGGAATCAGAAAGGACACCATACGGTTAAATCGAACGAAAACTATAATTCGTGATGGTTTTTGCTCCCCTTTCCCACTTCCCCTCGTTTTGTCACAGATCTTCCACCCGTCCATTATGGCGACCGAATATGCGCCGCGCTGAATCTCGCGCTTGGAAACACAAACTATCGCATGCGAGCATGCTTAACTTAATTGAAGAGCGAAATTCGTTTAGGACTCTAAAATCTTAAGCTTTACTCAGGTGAAATGAACTGCTCGTTAAAAAAAAGTGTTTCTGTCAGTTTAGAATTTGATTTGTTTAAGTCATATAAAATTATCCAATTGTCCACCGTGTTAGCTTTTACTGAAACCTTCATTGTGAATTTTTTCAATCGTTAGGATACCGAAGGAGACACTCCGTTACACGATGCTATCTCTAAAAAGCGTGACGATATGGTCACGATGCTACTAGAAGCTAACGCTGACGTAACAGTGGCTAATAATAATGGCTTCAATGCTCTGCACCATGCTGCTCTGCGTGGAAACCCAAGGTAAATTGAAATGGTAATTTGGTAATATCAACTAAGTTGAAATTGTAAATTGGCCACCGTAAAGAGTTAAACAGCTGACGTTTCGAGCATTAGCCCTTCGTCAGAGCGAATAGGTTGTTTCAACATGACAAGGGCTTTCTCGACATATCAAAGCGGAAATTTAGCCATGTTTTATTTATTTTAACCCGGAAAGTCCCAGAAGTGTTGCACGTATAACTTCTCTCGTCAATATCCAATATTATCCAGCGAACAGGTAATGAGAATACTCAAACTTATCAGGCAGAAGCTGTTTTCTTTATCTAACACCAAATTCTGGTTACTAATTTATAAAGAAATGTGTAGCAGCTACAGAGGAGAATTAGTTTTTACCAATCAGATCTTGAGAGATTAAGGGTAAAACACTCTGAAAGGACATAGACGATCGAAATTAGACGGTGAACTTTTCATTTTCGACCGCATTTTCCCACCTGCAAACCTCCACATACAGAGGATCCTGGTGCACCTGTAATGAATGTGCCTCGTGTTTATTTTTTTATTTTAAATGTTTGTAGCGCAATGCGCATCCTCCTTACCAAGCTCCCTCGTTCATGGATTGTGAATGAGAAGAAGGATGATGGGTACACGGCTCTTCATCTGGCCGCACTCAACAATCACGTGGAGGTGGCCGAGCTGCTCGTCAAACAGGTCAGTCCTATTTATATTTTCTCAGTTTGAAAATCTTACTAAATTTTCTGACGCGACGCTTAAGGAATTGCCAATCCGCGCAGTATGCTTGTTAGTGGTCTCTGTAGCGCAGTGGGAGAGCATCGCAGCACGTAATCCGAAGGTGTGGGGTTTGATTCAGATTTTATCTCTCTTTGTTCAACGCTTGTGACAAACCGATAACATCTTCCATTGAGAAAAACAACTGTTTGCCATTACCTGCTTAGTGTTTTGCCGAATTCGCGGATAATTTAACGTGCCAGCTGGTATCACGGTAGCAGGCACCATGATTAGGCCGATATTGCTAATCGCACTTTCCTCAGCAAGTGTCCTTTCCTGGGCCATTGCTATATCACTTGCTACGACGACCTGTGGTACGAATACCTGTGTGACTTGAAAGGTATCTTGCATCTATGGGTACTAACTCTTTACCCCCTAACATCCATATGCAAGTTCTCCAGGACTGTTCTCTATACATTTCTTATGGTGCTTACATGTTCAAGGAGAATTCGTTTAACAGTTAAGAAGTTCTTTGAGTTGGCGATAATTTCTTTTATTCTCGTAACCTTAGTGTGTGATTCAGGGGTGATACTGTTGACAGAAATTAGATTTGTATCACTGTTAGGGGCCAAAGGATTCAGTACGTTTTTAATCTGCGTTGGGTTTTTCCAGGCATTCACAAATACAAATTCTATAGCAAACAGGTCTCGTCTTATTTCCCTTATCTGTGTTTGTAGGCAAAAGCAAACAAAGATATTCAGAATACGAACCTTCAAACACCGCTCCACTTGGCTGTGGAAAGGCAGCATACACAGATTGTCAGAGTGAGTACTAAATACAAGAAAACTTTCGCAGTTGAGTCAAATATTGTCATTTCTCTTCCACACGGATATCGAAGAGGAGACAAAAGGCCAAGAATGAGTGGACAAAACTAACACACCGTAGACCTTGTGTTTATATGTAGTTATTTTGTTTTGTTTTTCATTTGGTTGTAGTGACTGATTTAGAAATAAGGTTATGTTAGTGTCACTCGACGATCGGTACGATATTCTGGTTCGCACTTAAAAGGACCACTGCTACACTTACATCTTACGAATCAGTACGTTAATTTCATCATGTTCTCGCATAATGTGCAAATATTGAAAGCTTTGATCCTTTACAAGATAGACTTAAGTCCCATTTTGCTTTCCCTCTGTCTTCTAATAATAATCTTTAAAACTTTTTAGGCTTTTTTTTCTGCAGTTGCTTTCTCTCTCTCTCAGTTAATCTCTTATTAAATTTTTATCTGTTGGTCAATGTTTACAGTACTGTTCCATACTTGGCACTCGTACCATAACTCATAATTTATTTAAGGCTCAAAGTTTTCCTCTAACTTCGACGCAATCGAGCAGTAATTGTACCTTACACTAAGCATTTTGTATTGGATAGCTTCTTGTACGTGAAAATGCCAAGTTAGATGTCCAAGATAAGGACGGCGACACACCCCTTCACGAGTCCCTCAGGCACCACACTCTGTCACAACTTCGACAGCTACAGGATATGCAAGATGTCGGCAAGGTAACACGTGCAATTGTTTTCTGCTGCATAGGGGCTTGGCTAATTAGGACCTCACAGAGTACTTGCTCGAAAAAAATAAATCCTCTTTCCTAAAGTTTCTTCCTCAATTTTTTTCTAGAGAATTAAACATTGCATATCAGTCTTGTCGTATCTTGCCTATGGAACAGGTTGTTAGGCATCTTCAGCAATGACCAAAGTGCTTTCTTAGTAAAGGAAGGTCAAAAAGGCTGATTACAATTTCTAATACAGTGATACTGGAGGGATATTTCTAAATTTGTGAAAGGAATTTTTTTTTCAAGTGAAGTGCTCTTTTCTTTCTTTTTGTGCGAAAGTCAACGCGAGAAAATTATTCTCTAGCGTAAGTAGCGTCTCAGGTTTTGTGATCTAAAAACTTTGCGATTAGAGGCTGACTGTTTGACCTTTCGGGGGAACTAGACGAGAGGTTATTCTTGATAAATAGACATCCGACATGTACCAATGTATTTGTGCACTCTATGAAGGAGGGAAAGAAAAATTCTTTTATTTGCATTTCCAGCTTCTTATGGGTTTGGGAACACAAGGTGCCGACAAAAAGAGCAGTGCATCCATCGCCCTCTTCCTGGCTGCTAATGGCGCCGATCTGAATGTAAAGAACAGAAAAGGACAAACACCTCTGGATCTCTGTCCTGACCCTCATCTCTGCAAAGCTTTGGCTAAATGTCATAAAGAACGGGCCAGGTGAGAATGGAACCAAAATATGGAACATGAATGGTCGTAGCCTGCAGTGTAGGCGTCTTATTGGGTTCATCCCCTCTTAATTTTTTCACCATCGCTCACCCCCTTGGTATAAATTTCTCTTTCTCCCCAGCCTTCCGCTTCCTTTAAAATCAAAGATGACGGCCATAATTTTCGATAAGAAAATATTGAGCACTCGCTCACCAGAATTACGTCTGCTCTGTTGGCTAACCCCTAAAGAATACGTTTTTTTTTTCCAAGGAAACGCGTCATTTCTTACATAAACTCACTCTATATTCTTTTATCTATCATCATTTTTAACAGTGATAATCAAAAGAACAATTCAAACGCTACAATTCTGGTAGATGTGGATGAGAATGAAGGACTGGACGAGTGTATGGTGTGCTCAGACATGAAACGCGACATGCTGTTTGGGCCGTGTGGACACGTGGCTACTTGTTCGCTGTGTTCTCCCCGTGTGAAGAAGTGCCTCATGTGTAAGGAGACTGTGCAGTCTAGAACTAAGGTATTTACAAACTACGCTGGGAATTGCCTGGGGTAGGGGGCATCTTCAACTTCCTTTGATTCGTTGTAAACTGCTACTAGTGGACTGGCAAAGTCCCCCGCACAGTGTTGTAAGAATGGCCCTGAAAAGCCCCATGGGGAGTGGTCATCTAACCCATCCATCCATCCATTGATCCATCCACCATCCATCCATCCACGCTGTCTGGTTTGTCGCGCTAGCGTTACATTAAATGTTACGTAAAGATGTGGTGCTGCGTGACTGAGAAGAAAATTGTGGTAATCAGGAATTGAATTTTGTTTGTTTTATTCGCCACGTGAATGGTTCAGAAATTTCGCGCTATCCTCACAACCAATCAGATCCAACAGAATTATCTACCGCGTCTAAGAAACCCACGTTTTCCCGCGCTTTAGGCAGTTCGTTCTCTTTGAGTCCTCATTGGCTATTCCTAATATTTTCCTTATTTCTGATTGGCCGTTGTGATTACGGTGGTTTTCGTTTAACGAAACTTGAGCAAAAAGCGCGCAAAGAATTTCTGGTGCACTTGTAATACTCTGTCACTTTCCCGTGTCATTTTAGATCGAAGAGTGTCTAGTCTGTTCGGAGAAGGTCGCAAGAGCGCTGTTCAAACCCTGTGGGCACATGGTTGCCTGTGAAAGTGAGTGTATTTAGTTCTTTTCTTAACATTATACTTCTTCCAATCTACAAGGTTAAAAAGGGTTACATATCGTGTATTCCACTCTTTAGAGACAATATTGCCCCTCTTCTTTGCAAAGAGATTCTAGTCAGCTTAACATGCAATTAACCTTTCAACATTTTTATAATGTGTAACCCTGATGCTATTTTAGTGATTCTTTCGCACGCAAATTTTTGTACAAGTGGACCAAAAAATATCAGAGAAGGAGATGCGCCTTTATTTATTTTTCGTATTTGCAGCTGCTCTCTCTGATATAGTGTATTTGTTCAAACCATTTACTGTATAATGTACTTGTTTCTCCAGATTGCGCTGTATTGATGAAGAAATGTGTGCAGTGTCGAAACCACATCGACGAGTCTATACCATTCATTGTGTGCTGTGGTGGAAAAGGTTGGTACATTTTCTGCAAAGTAAACAACTGTGTTCAATTATCGTGTCAGTGAACCTTGGATCAAACGGGTGATCTAAGTGGTGTAGTGATAGTCCACAAAGCAAGGACAGATAGCGACCCTAAAACGTAAAATTTATGCCTCGTTAATTTCAGCACCAAAGCGGCCCTCTTCGTGTACGGTCAGAATTTACATCGGAGGAAATTTTTATATAGTACTATACTACCTTCTACGCTCCTTCACTGTAAGATGAGCTTACAGATTTCCATATCTCTTTAACGCGTTCTGTTCTTTTGGTTTAGCCGCGCCCACGACACAAACAAAATCAAGCGGTAAACCTGAGATTAGTCAACAGGAATTTACTCAATTGCAGCAACAACTTCAAGACATGAAAGAACAGGTAATTTCTTATAGTCTCGATTTTCTGCATGTATTATCAGCCAATCTCATAGATGAAAATATCGTCGAGAAGGAGCGACCTGACCCATGTGACTTTTCCCGCGCTTGGCGGGGACTGCGAATCAAACTCTTTCCAAGAAGCGCGATTCTTTTGGTCAGCGGCATAGGTAGCAAGGTTGTGGTCAAACCCGTTGTTATGAGTTTGTGCGGACCGTAGTTTTGTTTTGTATGCTGTCTCTTCTACCAGCCAATCAGGTGTTAGGAACATTTTTGGGTTCGACAAGAGCCTCCAACATCTTTTGCTCAGGTCAAGGGTATCGAAGGGTTGAGAACGAGATTGATCGTATCTTGAGGATTTTTATGTTGCTTTGAAACCTATGTAAACTTTAATCTCTGTTGTTTTATTTTTTCTTAAGACGCTGTGTCCTGTTTGCATGGATCGAAAGAAAAACCTGATATTCTTATGTGGTCACGGCGCATGTCAACTGTGTGGAGACCGAATGCAAGAATGTCCAATGTGTCGAAAGACCGTGGAAAGAAGAATTCTTCTATTTTGACAACAAAAACTTTTACATAAGTTCTTAACGGATTTTTTTTGGAAAAGTGAGTCTGACAATTTTCTGCGAGAAGAGTACAGTCCAGGGTATAGATGTGTTTGGACTTCAGCAAGTTAGAAGCACAATGTTTATGCCATGGAAATTTAAGAGGCTAAACTGGAAGCCACAAGTAGGAATTTGCTCTTTCGCCTCATTCTTTGATTAGTCTCGCTGAAGCCATAGGAATCTGAATATGTACTGACAATTTAATTCATAAAAATTTTGGTAGCTATTTGCAGCGTAATTAGATACTCGATCAGTTTGCTGAAATGGCTGTTAAACGTGCTCGGTGGACTACAGAGAAGCTATCGAGGAATAGCAATCGTAGCTGACACAAGTGCGTAAAAAGGACCTCAAACTTATTAAAAGTATACAACCAATCAACTCAAAATCTCGCTGTTGAAGGAACAGTTGTTCAGAAACGCAGAGTTATGACCATTTTTGCAACTCCACAAACGCTACTTTTCTCTCCTACAAATGTTGCTTGCGCGTTTGCAAGGCGGTGCACAATACCAAGTTCGATTGTGCTTCAGGATGTTAATTTTTTATGTTGTGAACGATTGGTATACTTAATTACCTTCTGTATTTATTTCTTCGTTTTGGGGTAGGTGTTCATCAGCGTGGATCGTTAGATTGTCGAAGTTGTGGGAGATCTACGGGGCAAATAGAAACCCTTATGGCACTGAGGTTAAAATTTGACAGCAAACAGCCTTGGCGCGAAAATAACGTAACCAAAGAAATACAGGAAAAAAATATGGCGAAACTAGAAAGGTTTGCCATGGATCGGCTTACGTCTATTTGAAAGCTCCAAAGAAACCCGGCAATGATAAACTAAAGCGGTGTTATCATTATACTGAAACCGTGTGGAAACAGTTTGTTCGGAAAACAGAGAAAACCTGTTACTTTCTCATATACCAAAGGTCTCAGTTCCGCCCGTTAACGTGCTAAATTTTTGTGGCATTTTCTCTGACTCTAACGACACTCTTCCTCGTTCGATTTCTGTCTGTTAGTCATTGGTAACAAGAGTGGGACGACTCAGGAAAATAGCGGGTATGCTCAGGACGAGTAAATGTTTTCACGCATCCTCAGCTCGCATTTCATGGTCCCCAGGAGCGCGCAGGCACCTGTCACCTGAATAAACGCAAATCAATGCCTCTCCACCGTGGAGTATGAAATGGTATCTCATCTGGGAAGAGGGTAGCGTGCAGAAGTGGCGCGTAATTTTGGCGAGCGCGTGCAAAGTATTTTCCTGGTGAAAATTTTAGCCACCCTTTGATTTTACAGCAGCGAAGGCCGGGGAGGGAAAGAAATTTGTCACAAGTCGGCGAGGAGGGACGGTCAAGAGGAAGATGTGGGGGGGAATAGAAATTACTAGCATTTTCCCCGACTCTAACCCTAAATCAAACATGGCCGGTCAAATAAACCATCGCGAACTTTAAACTTTACCTCTCCCCCTGACAAGAGTGCAGGCTAGGGAGAGAGGGGTATCCTTCGAGCTCAGCATTGGCAACTCGATTGGCAGATTGATTTTAGAGCCAAAATCGCGTACATCTAATCAGATTTACACCCAGAGGGAGTTACAGCATCTCAAGTCGCTTCATGCTTTGAAAACTGGGTCAACTTTGAGCGAGTGGGTGACTTTACCTACATCTCGACAGAGAAGCCGCTCCTTGCGTCACCTGAAATACTTGGTAACAATAACATCAGGAGAAACAGAACCAGTAATACACTTTTAATGTTTATTATTTACATAACACGGATAACGGTGAAAGTAAAAAGAAAGAAGAGTGTTACACTCAACTGTAGAGCATAATTAAGGTTAGCTTGAAATGACGAAGCGCCATATTTACACCAAGTAATACCTTACCATTCGTACAATTAAAATGAGCGGTTCGAAAGATGGGATTTTAGGAAATATTTTCCGCTAAACCATTCCCATTACCATCACATTTTGTGCCCAAAATAATGTACATTAATTGTAAAAGGATAATTCGACCACCCTACCGTGATGAAGAACTACTCTCGAATTCAATGTAAATATTCAAAAATATGTATTATACCAAAAATGTAAAAGGACAAACGGGACGGTCTTCGATTGTCTCGCTTCTTAGAAAATTTGCTTTCTGAAAAGTGGCTGAGACGGCCACAATTTTTAAGAAATTAGACTGAACACTTACATCAGAGAATTAATCTAAAAACAACTCTTTTTAACTGTTTTAGTCCAGGAGTGAGATATCCCGCCATCTAACGATTCTGCTTGCATATGAGAGTATCACAAATTTGGAGGAGTCCACTAATCTGAAAAGGAAAAGAATGTGAAGGTTAAGGTGCCTACTTTTGTCAGAAGAAGCCGATTAAGCCATTGATTCATTTAGAGAAGTTCTCTGTTATAAAGAGGTGTTCGGTAAGACCAACCGCTCTGATGGGAAAAACTTGGCAAACCTATCCCTTCAATTGCACATGTTTATATCAAGGTAACAAAACAAACAAATAATAATCAACTTATTGATAAAAGACATACCACGAGCCTGATTCGTTTGCTTCTACAACTGGCGAAAAGGACATTAGGTTATCCACAGCTCCAACCACAGAGGTTGACATGGGAGCAAAGAAGACAGAGTCTCGTCGCTTCTCACTCCTCGCTGGGGAGTCAAGATTAAACGCAGCCAATTGACTGCGTGGCGTCACACCAGCTGAGCCTTCCTTTCCAGGCACTGCGGTCAGCGTAACGAGCGGCGAGCCATCATTACTGGCAGGAAATCGTCGCACCACGTTTGCCGGTGACATCATCCCTAAACTGTCCCCAAGTGCAGGAGTCTTGCTGTTCTCAGAGGGGGAAACAAATATCGTGGTCTTCGGCATGGGCGTTATTTGGCGGGAGTTTGGTGTAGGTGTGTCCATGTCTGAAAGGTACCTGAGGATGTGTATGGGTGTCCTACCAGACTTGGGTTCGCTTTTAGTGATGGAAGGCTTGAGAAAAGTCACGGGTTCGTCTGGCGGAGTGAGGTTGACATCTGCGCCGAGATCGGCGTCTTCCAATTTTGGTTCTTTGTCGTCAAACACAATCTCTAAAAAAAAAAAAACAAAATGAACCAAGTGATAAGCTTATTTTGTAGGTGGAGACTCCCAAAACAAGACAGTCTCATTAGTCAACAACCAACCAATGGCTTTCAACTTACCATCCACGTGCTCTACTGAGTCCACAGGTTTCTTTCCAATGTCTTCTTCATCCGACGAGGACGGACATAGATATCTACAGAATGCATCTGGTTCTTGACCCTTTGGATCGAGATCACATGTTTTAGAATTTACCGTAACCCTTCTTTAATACAGTGGCTATAGCGAAGGGCGCTCGCATAGAAAGAAACCGGGTAAAATAGTTTTTTTTTTTCTAAGGAATACGCGATTGAAACAAAACTGACGCATTCTAGTCTGCCGAAACTAAAAAGCCTTATTTTACAGAATGACCTACGCGCAGTGAAAATATTCCCTCCTTTTTCTACCCAGGCTTGTTTTCTTCGCCAAAATCTAAGTTCTCTATTTGGATAGTAATGTATTAGAATTGCCGGTCGACTCACATTTTTGGACGAGTCACTTGCAGAAGGCTCCTCCGTTGTTTGGAACAGTTTTACTGAAATTTCTTCGGGTGTCTGCTCGAAAAAAGAGAGATAACAGGCAACATAGTAAGGTTTCCGTTAAGGAAGCCTCCCGGTTAGCTCAATTGGTTAGAGCGCCGGATTGTGTTGTGAGGGAGGTCGAGGGTTCGAGCCCCGGCCGGACCGACACTCATGGTCTTAAAATAAGTGAGGAGAAT